TTCTTGAATGGTCCTCTACAAGAAGAAGTTTACGTAACACAACCACCTAAATTTAAGAAAGAAGGCGAAGAATGGAAAGTGTATAAACTGAATAAAGCTTTGTACGGGCTGAGACAGGCACCTCGAGCTTGGAACACTCACATCAATTCTTGGCTCATTGAATTTGGATTTCAGAAGTGCACGATTGAGTTTGAGATCTATGTGAAACAGGTTGAAAAGCAAGGTATTTTATTGTTCTGTTTATATGTAGACGACCTACTCATAACAGAAAGCACAACAGAGGCTACCGAAGATTTTAAAACAAGAATGAAAGGAGACTTTGAGATGACTGACCTTGGTAGTCTGGGTTACTTCCTTGGGCTGGAATTCTTGCGTACATCTAATGGAATGCTTGTGCATCAGAGTAGGTATATTGGTGAAATTCTGAAGCGGTTTGGCATGGAAGACTGCAATAGTGTGAGCGTACCAATGATGGCCAATACTAAGCTGTCTCTCCAAGCTGATGACAAGAAGGTTGATGCTACCTTGTTTAAACAAATTGTAGGATCACTCAGGTATGTGTGCAATAGTAGACCAGATATTAGTTATGGTGTTGAGCTGGTTAGTAGATTCATGGGTGATCTTAGATAGTCTCCCATCTTCACTGCTAAACATATACTACACTACCTAAAGGGGACAACAAATTATGGTCTTTTTTATCCTAAGAAGTTTGACAGAATGGCAGGGATGTTAGAAGCTTGGAGTGATTCGGATTGGTGTGGAGATCAAATGGATAGAAAGAGCAGGTTCGACTATGTATTCAAATACATGGGAGCGTCGTTTAGCTGGTGTTCGAAAAAGCAGAGTGTTGTAGCACTCTCATCTTGCGAAGCTGAATATATTGCTTCATCCGAAACCGCATGTTAGTGTGCCTGGATAGAAACAATGTTGGATGAGTTGATGATTGAATGTTGCAAACCAATCAAACTATTGATAGACAACAGATCAGCTATCAATCTATCTCAAAAACCCATCTCACATGGTAGAAGCAAACATATAGAAACCAAGTTTCATTATCTGAGAGAGCAAGTTAGCAAAGGAAGACTGGAACTGGTGCATTGCTCCATAGAAGATCAAATAACCGATATTTTCACCAAGGCTCTACGTCAAAGTAGATTTGTGAAGCTTAGAGACTGTCTTGGAGTTAAATCTAGTAGAAGTTTTGTTTTAAGAGGGTGTGTTAAAGGGTTTAAAACAAAACTACAACTGTCATAACTGTTTTTGCTGTTACAATTTGACATACTCATTCACTATTATATACGTTGCATGTACTCTTTTATTGTTTAATGAAAAAACCACTCACTTTCTCGTATTCCTTTTTCTTTGCATTCTATTCTACACTCTCTCAACATAATCACCACCTTACCACAACAGAGATAAATGACTTGCATTTTACTACACACCATTACTATTCAACTGTCAATGTTGAGCTAACTTCGGCATCATAGTGCCTTCTGTTGGTACTCTCCGAACGATTGGGATAAACAACTACGAGAGGATTAGAAATTCTGGACAACTTTTAGACCTTGGCCGACTTACTTGTGGTTGGATTGTTGCCTTCGACCCTACATCTCAAACAATTTTGGCACCCACCATGGGGCGAGTATTCAACAACCAACAAACCTTACGGTAACTACAAGGAACATGACGAGCAATATTGTGGCAGAGTCAGTCAAATAACAATAGCATCAACCTGCTCTAACTAGGTACGGAGAAGACTCGTGCAAGACAACCCATGAGGACAACATAAAAGCTAGCAGAGAGAACACGTCTGTCTAGATAATTAACATAGCGGGTCTGTTGTCCTTCACATCGGTCATCATGGAGACTCACATGCCTCTAGTCTATGAATGACAAAAATATTCGCGCCTGCAGGTATTAGCGGATAAAATCTGTGACGAATAGTTGGTACCTACGGGTATTTATTACCAGTGGGTAACAAATATTTTAATATTAGCTTATAAACTGTCAGGTGCGGGTATTATACTCTCTGTACTCGTGGATATCCGCTATCCGCAAAAAATAAAATATAAATATTATTTACATTTTATTAAATTAAAATTAATTTACATTTTATAAGGTTAAATTTAATTAAAATTAAATTTTAATTTAATTAAAATTAAATTTTAATTTAATTTATATTATTTTTATATATTTTTGTATTTTTATTTAAATTTTATTTTAATAATTTAAAAAATATTTTTTTTTAAATATTTGCAGGTATCCGAAGATATTTGCGGGTTTTAAAATACCCATAGATATTTTTTAAACGTGTATCTGTTAGGGTAGTGGGTTAATTTTTTTTGCAGGTCGGATTGCGGGTAGGCACTGCCCATGTTCGACCTAACCCGTTGTCATCCCTACTCTAGTCCTCCCGACCTTTGAGAAGTATGATGGATCAACGGATCCAAACAAGCATTTGAAGATGTTCATAAGCTAAATGGCTTTCTACACCACAAGTGACCTGGTGCAGTGTATAACTTTCTCTCTTTCCCTCAAAGGGGAAGTTTTGGCATGGTTCAACTTGCTACCACTCAATTCCATTGACAACTTTATTGTCATCCGCTCATTGTTTGGCATGCACTTTGCCACGAGTTGGTCATATCACTCTACAACTCTTACCCCAGTGAACCTCAAGCAAGAGAAGGANCTAACCCAAGAGTACGAGATGTTCCGCATGAAGCAAGGAGAAACAATTATATAGATGTCCAGAAGTGCTTCACGCATATAGTGAATAATCTCATTGGATTAGGTAAGTCCTTTGAAAATGATGAATTAAATATCAAAATTCTTAAATCTTTGGACAGAACTTGATAACCAAAAGCGACTGCCATAAGTGAGTCACAAACCTAAACATCATGTCAATAGCTGCATTGTTTGGTAAGTTGAGAGAACATGAACTAGATCTCGGAAGATTGAACAAGGATGAAGAAAAAAGTAATAAAAAAACCTGGGCGTTCAAATCAGAGATTGATAAAAGTCTTAAAGAAGAAGATGACTCTGAAGAAGATAAGGATGATGTGGGTCTCTTCGTTAAGAAATTCAAATAAGTTCTAAATCCAGGAAGTCCATGTGGTACCTTGATAGTGGTTGTTCAAGGCACATGACATGAGATATAAAGAAATTTACAAACTTCCGAAACAAAGAACCAGGCTATGTCACATATGGTAACAATAACAAGGGAAAGATCCTCAGAGTAGGAGACATAGGAAGTGCAAATAACTTGATGATTAAAGGTGTATTGTTGTTGAAGGTTTGAAGCACAACCTTCTTAGTATTAGTCAATTATGTGACAAGGGTTTCAAGATAACATTCGAACCCAATTATTGCACTATTTATGAAAAAAATTCTTCTGAAGTTGCTTTGAAAGGTATTAGACATGCAAATATTTATTTAATTGATTTGAAAAATGTTTCAAATAAAAATATTTTATATTTAGTTGTAAAAGAAGAAAATCCATGGTTGTGGCATAAGAGAGCTGCTCATATTCATATACAACAATTGGATAGACTCATATCTAAAGACTTAGTAATTGGTCTACCAAAACTCAATTTTATAAAAGACAAACCATATGTTGCATGTCAAAAGGGTTAACAAGTTAAATCATCTTTTAATTTGAAAAATATTGATTTGAGTGAAAAATCCTCAGAACTCTTGCACATGGATTTATTTGGGGAAAATTATTATGCTTTAGTTATTGTTGATGACTATTCAAGATATACATGAACATTCTTTATTACTCAAAAAGGTGAAACTTTCAAAGTGTTCAAAATGAAAAGGGTTTGAAAATTAAATTTATTCATAGTGATCATGGAGGGGAATTTCAAAATGAATCATTTGAAAATTTTTGTGAAGAACTTGAAATTTCTCATAACTTTTTTACATTTCGAACTCTGCAACAAAATGAGATTCTAGAAAGGAAGAATAAATCTTTAGAAAACTTGCACGAACTTTATTGAATGAATAAAAAATTCCAAGACATTTTTGGACTGACGTTGTAAGTATTGCATGTTACGTTTTAAATATAATGCTTATTCGTCCTATTTTAAAATGTATTTCTTATGAATTATTTAAAGGAAGAAAGCTAAATATTTCTCATTTAAGAATTTTGGGGTCAGATATTTTGTTTTAAATTATGGAAAACAAAAATTTGAAAAAAATTAATTCAAATCCGATGAATATATATTTTTATTGGTTATTCTCTAACTAGATACATGTTTCTTAAAACAATAAATGACACTCTAGAGTTCAGAATATTACAAAATAAAGAACAAAAAAATATTTAATAAACTTTAGTAAAGATATCTTATATTTTAATTGTAATGTTCACTCTAGCTGTATTATTAATATTGTGTTATGTAGAGTTTTGTTGTTATAATTTTATAAATAAAATTAAAAGTATAAACACTGAACCCCAAATTCTAAATTCATTAGTGATTTCCCAGTGAATATGTTTCTCCAAGTTCAGCCCCATAGCTAAAGGCTATACACAACTAAACTTAGTTTGTCTACGCTGTTTGCTGTCTGCTGAGGTTCCAACTAAACCCTAATATCCACTGATTAAAGAAGCTACCTATGTTTCTTATAACCCTTTTCAAATGCCATGCCTATGGATGGCCTAATTATATTATTTCATCTCTCCATTTTCGGTCAATACTCTTATTTCGTACATGCCCAAAATAGTCACTTCTTGCCCTTTTAACACAAACCATAATTAAGCCATTTCAGAAGCAACAACTTACAACTATAATGTTTTCTCAATTACTCATTGTCTCACATAATATCCCACATTTGGATACAGGAATCATCCTTAGATATCACTAAATTATATATAGAGTTTATAGACTTAAAATATTGTTTATAGACTTAAAATTTGTATAGATACATACAAAAGTATATTATATCAATTAATTTATCCATCTTCTTCTGATACCTGCGTTCAGATAGAGGCAAAGAATTTAACTTCCAACAATAGTATTATTCTCCACTCAGGTGAAAAAAAAATATATAAAAAATGACTTGGATATATAGCTTCCTTCATGATTTCCCATAAATTGTTTTCAGAAATTCTCTTTTCGTAATTTTTGTGAATAAATTTGTATTAGTGGCATTCTGGTGGCATGACTTTGAATCTGGGTCTGTCATTGCAGTAAGAGTAAAACATGAGTTTCCTCCTTGCCCAATCCATAGCTTCTACTTGCTGCTGTGATAGCTTAGTAAACTCTGGTCCATTGACTGGGTCTTGGGCAGAAGGGTTGACCTTAGAACATGCAGAAACTGGTGCTGTGGGATCAGATATGCAGCCACTCTGTTTTACTTGTGCAAATGAAGCAACAAATGGTGCATACTTGTAGTTAACTGGGTATTTGCCTCCATGAGTAGCCCATTCTGAACCATCCCATATTGTGGCATACACCGACATTGGTTTTGATGGATAAATAGAAGGATTTGTGTTGCTATGTATGAATTCCCTCACTGGAACATTGTCCACTAAGAACCTACAAAATCCGCAATTGGGTTATTGTGAGTATGTTGCTATTTAGGATACATTTTTTCATTATAGAAAAGGAAGATAAGAAATCAAAGACTAATCATGCAAAGTATTTCCATTGTGATATTCTTTCAATTCCAAGACTGAAACAAGACTTATCTAACTTACACTGTGTGATAACTGTTCCACAAGATGCTGTAAAGATGATACTGCTGTGTTGGGTCGAACCAGAAATAGAATTTCTCTTCTCTCCCTGTGCTGACACTTCCATTGGCATAGACATTCGTTTGAATAACCCAGTCATTTCTTTTATCATGACCCAAAATTTCAATGTCTATTTCATCATGGTTGTGAGGGAATTTATCTGCATTAGACAGCTGATGTTTTCTCGAGTTAATTTCTTGACGACATTCATTACCTCAATGGTACATATCAGTAAGAAAAATTCTCTCAATGAAGTAAGTGTCTGTGTTTGTACTGTGTGCTGTGCAACCATCCATGTATGATAACAGAAGAATCTTAAGCATAGAAGAAGTGAGCTTACATAAAAAGCAACAACAACTCCAGGTGACAAACCAGAGGGCAATTTGATTGCAGCACTGAAGAATCCATAGTAGTATCTTCTTTGTGACACCAAGCCGGAACCTATAGAATAATAGCCTTTGTTATGAAATGATTAAAACAAAACAAGGAACTTGTAAACTTTCAATAACTTGACTAAATGAAGAGGTTGTTCATATTAACCTGAGAGTTTGTCGAGAGCCAGTGTGGCCGTGGACCCATTGCTGAGAAACTGGACATTGGAGGCCCCAAAGGCCTTAGAAAAAGCTTGATCAATTGGGACAGTAGGAAAAGAATCCGTCAAGCGTGTGACAGTTGGAACTGTAAAAGGTCTGTTGTGTGAAGAAACCACAGTGGCTAAGCAAAGGATTAGTAGATATGAGAAGCCTAGCTTTTGTTGCCAAAGTGCCATGTTTTGTGGACATGTGAGGAGAAAACATGTCAGATTGATTGGGTATATATTGGGTGTGGTTTAATGAATGGGGCTCGTAGTTTTTGCTTAGTTGTTTTCTAGCTGGCCAGTGGCTAATTGCCTTTTTCCTTTAGTCATTTCACAGTATCTTTTCTGATAGGTGTCTTGGATCATAAAGGCAAAGATCCAAAGNACATAAAAAGCAACAACAACTCCAGGTGACAAACCAGAGGGCAATTTGATTGCAGCACTGAAGAATCCATAGTAGTATCTTCTTTGTGACACCAAGCCGGAACCTATAGAATAATAGCCTTTGTTATGAAATGATTAAAACAAAACAAGGAACTTGTAAACTTTCAATAACTTGACTAAATGAAGAGGTTGTTCATATTAACCTGAGAGTTTGTCGAGAGCCAGTGTGGCCGTGGACCCATTGCTGAGAAACTGGACATTGGAGGCCCCAAAGGCCTTAGAAAAAGCTTGATCAATTGGGACAGTAGGAAAAGAATCCGTCAAGCGTGTGACAGTTGGAACTGTAAAAGGTCTGTTGTGTGAAGAAACCACAGTGGCTAAGCAAAGGATTAGTAGATATGAGAAGCCTAGCTTTTGTTGCCAAAGTGCCATGTTTTGTGGACATGTGAGGAGAAAACATGTCAGATTGATTGGGTATATATTGGGTGTGGTTTAATGAATGGGGCTCGTAGTTTTTGCTTAGTTGTTTTCTAGCTGGCCAGTGGCTAATTGCCTTTTTCCTTTAGTCATTTCACAGTATCTTTTCTGATAGGTGTCTTGGATCATAAAGGCAAAGATCCAAAGAGTCATGTGGGGGTGATTTGTTTAGGTTTGGCAGGGCTTGTGTTGTGGGGCTGGCCTAATATTGGTAGCATGAAATGGGAATGGAGTTTTAAGTTAATGTTTGATGGGGAACCTCACTCTTCCCTGCATGGCTGTAGCATCTGTTACATGTCTTATTCTTCTAAATTTGTATTTGTAGCTGTGATCCAATTGGGAGCAACTAATTCTCATAAAAACGCGTAAACTTTTATTGGATTTGTCTTCCAATTTGCACAATGATGAAGACCATACATCAACATCAGTACCTACACTTTTCCTTCACTCAAGTATTAGTATTCCATTTACCCTCTTAAATTCAAGCAGTTTATTTTAATCAGCACTAGATTTCTAAGTTCTATCATGTTATCTAATACTTTTACTGTTTAACATTTCATGATCTAATTTAGAGGCTTTAAATGATAATGTTATTGGAAGAAGAAACAAGATAAAGCGAGGAACGAAACTAGGATAGTTGAGTTGGGTTGAATTGGCATAGAAATTTAGTCTGAGTTCCCAGATCTAGCAATCTCTTAAATGCATGTCTGGTTTCTACTTAAATTGCTAAGCTGAAAATGGTGTGGTGGTAGGTAAAAATCACAGTAAAATGGACTAATCAGGAGAATCAATGAATGTACAAGATTGGATTAGCGTTTAATAAAGGTAATGAAGCTAACTAAAGTATGATATACCGATTGAGCAAATGTGACAGAGGTGACTTAGCTGGCATGCAGAGGAATCTGATGCGACAGAAAAATAACTTAGTACATCTCAGACTACGCACGTTCACGTTGGTTTTTGTAATTTTTCTTTTGTAGTGTATTAGTAGAATGAAAAGGTTGCAGGGATCGCATTGAAAGAAAAAGGACGTGTGGGTGGTAGTTGTCACACTCAGAGTTATGGCACAGAATTACATTTTCCTGCAGCACTCAATTGCTTACTCAATCTTAAATAGGCGAATGAAAACAAGGTAGAGATTGTGATAGATAGCAATTAGCATGGACAAATATGCAGGTAGGACCAACTTCCGTCCATCTACCCAAAAGGGTTTCAAAATTTATTAATGGATGGAATTCACGCAAACTTTTTCTTCCACTAATTTCCTCATTAATTGACCTCATCTTTGAGATAACGAATCATTCACACAATACCAAACTTCAGTCTACCTCAAGTAAAGGTTTCAAAGTTTTTTTTTTTAATCTTATTATGTTATTCATCTTTATTTTTATCCAATGTAAATATTAAAATTTTCAGATAAATTTTATTTAAGTTTTATATAATATAAAGACCTACAAAATAGTATTTTAGAAGTGATATTTTAGAAAATGGTATTTTAATATTAAAAGGTTTTAATATAAATAATTTCGTTATAGAGTTTCATTATTTTAAAACACATCATCTTTTTAGAAACCACTTTTCTAAAATTCTTTGATTTTTCTTTAGGAGTTCTTTTGCTGTGTGAAGATCAAAGACTACTTGAGTGATCACAACGATGAAATTTTCTAGTCTAACCGATTAGTTTCTTCAATAGAGTAAGTTGACTTTATGTTTCCTTCTTTGGTCGATTTTGTTTACCTTGCATGCTAGCTCTTTTTGTCTTGCATGTGAAGTTTGAGTCTTTTATAAGACTCTTTACTAATCAATGGTCTTAACGGTGTACCCTGTCTTGTTTTTGTTATTCGTAGGAACACATAGGAATTTTTGTAAGTTAGAGCTGTTTTAGGCTTTCTAGAGCGATTTGGTCTTCTATCAGGTAAGGGAAGCTAATATTCGCTTTAATTTTCATATGAGAATTGTATGAATTTTTATTTGATAGCTAGTGGAATTTATGCTTGGTTGAATATCATATTAATTGAAATGATTGTTAAGTGATGTTGTATATTGATGAGTGAATAATTTCCTATTGATGAATATTTCGGTATATGCTTGGATTTGATAATGGTGTGAACTTTGGATGCTACTGTTTTGAAGTTCTATAGATACAAATCTGATGTAGAGTTGAAAGTAGGAAATTGAGGGTGTTGTTAGACTGGTTTTTAGTCTAAATTGAGGTTTTGATATGTGAATTTCTAAAGGAGGAGTTTTAAAGAGATAAATAATGTTTAAGGTATGTTTTTAGATCATTTTAAACTTGTCTAGAACAATAGTTGATCAATATGAAGTTGAAATGAAAAGTTGTAATTAAGTGGAGTTGTAGGCTAGATTTGGTTTAAAATAAGGAGTTTTGTTATGTGAATTTTGAGATAAGGGTTAAATTGATAAATTTGAGGTTTATGGTCTGTTTTTAGGCCATTTGGAACTTGTTTGGACTTTTAGTTTACCAAAATATGATTAGAAAGGGATATAATTGAGTGGTGAGCTTTTAAATGGTGATTTGGATATTGATGAGTCTAATTGATGGGAAAATAGTTTTAGTGATGCTTTTGTTTAATCATAAACATGTTAGTAAGTTACACTTAGGGTATAGATTAGTGGTTTGGTTCATATGTGTATTGGGAGGTACGTTTAAGGTAAGGAAGTTTAAGGTTGGTAGGTTCAAATTCTGGAGAATTATTATTCTGCAATCTCGTTGAGCGAGCATAGTCGCTGGATGAGCTTAGTTGTTGGGCAAGCAGAATTCATTGTTTCTATATTCGTAGAGCGAGTCAATGGGGTTGGATGAGTTAGTTTGAGGGAGAAGCTTGTTGTAGCAGTGGATGGGCAAGTGTCCTCACTAAGCGAAAGAGTTCTTTTTTTGTTGGGATATAACATGCATTGAAAAACTTGTTCAGATCATGTTTTGAGGTTTTCTTTCTTTTGTTTTCTTGTAACGTTGAACTATATTAATTATTTGATATTTGTTTAAAAGTATCTATTTAATTATATGATGGTTTATACATGAGGTTATATATGTATTTAAAGTATAGTTTGAAAAGAGTTTCTAAGGTGAAATTCTTGATGGATGTTTCAAGTAGTGTATGTATTATTGTAGGAGCTCGGTCTTGGGGGTTATTCTAAGTCTCTAATGGTCATCCATTCTCAAGTAGAGAAGGGTGAGTCATGTGGTTAGAGTATTAGGAGGTCCTAGTCTAGGGGCGACAAAGGGCGTTTTAACGAACCAATCTTGTGTGGTAGGTTGGGGTGGGCCAGCTGTTCCACTACTACAAATGTACAACCTAGATGTTATAATATGTTTAGGTTTTGTGCTTAGGTTTGAAAGTGAAATATAATACATGATAGTTTGTGAATTCCATGTTTTGTTCTTTTTATATTAGCTTACCCTTTTGTATTTGTCTATTTGTGTGTGCTTGTTTTCTCTTTTGCCATGATCACCTTATAAAGGTTGTAAGCTTATGGGAATGTCTTTTTAGTTGATCCAACTCGGGATAAATGTGAAGTAATGACGTAGTTAGGTTTTCGTTAACTAGGTGTTTGTTTTTTCGTTAATTATAATATTTGTAACATTTTATTAATAGTTTTATATTATTAAAATGAGATGTTACACCTAATGTTAACTCAAAGATTTGAAAAACATAAAGCTAAATTAATAAAGAATTATTTTATTTAAAAATTATTTTTCAAGATTTTTTATATAAATTATCTATTAAATTGTTGTAATTAATTTATTTAACTTTCTTATTGTTACACTATCCATAGTTTTGTTACATGAGAGATTTTATCTTCATTGCGTAAAAAGAACTAAACTTTAACCTAATTAATCAATTTTGTAATTCAATCCAAACAAAAATTTCAACTGCCAAGTAAAAAAAACTTTCAAAATCCATAAATAAAAAATATCGAAAAATAAAATTGGACAAAAAAAATACATTTTTAACTACAAATTCAATAGGTTTAAGGTCTCGATAGGTTCCCATTTTGGTCAGGAATTTCAAATAGGTCCCCTTTCTTTTTTCGTCTCAATTGGATCCTTTTTGTGTAAAATTTGAGCAATTAAAGGCATGTCGTCAAATTGGGAAACGACCATTTAAATGTTGGTTACGTGTCATGGTCAGAGTTCACGTTAATGAGACGTGGCATTATAAACAAATTTTGTATTAAAAATTATGAATGCATAGTAGTGTAATCAACTTTTTGGAAGGGTAAAGTGGGAATAATAAAAAAACTTTAAGTGCAGCCATCACTGCAACCTCCATGACCGCCACGCAAAGCCTCCCTCATCCTCGACCTCCCTAATGTCACAAGCCAAGTTCGCATCTTCGTCATCTCCACCAGAAACATAGATCTGCAACGCCTCCATGGCAGCCACCAAGGAGCGACATCTTCTCCATCCACCATCGTCGGAGCACCGTAAGCTTCTCCTGTGCACGCCATCATAAATCTCATCAACACCGAGTCGCGAGTCCTCCATGGCACCCAGCTGAATCGCGAATCGCGCCACTCCTCGCGAGTTCGTCATCTACATCACCGGACCTGCAAAGCAAAATCCAGAGAAGAACAGAAATGTCAGTCTCTCGCCGAACCTCCGTAGTGGCTCAACCATCTCCCTCGCGTCTTCATCGTCAACTGCAAGCAGAAAACCACAAGAGGCGCACCACCAAAAACCAACCCAGAATCTTCTCCTCCATCACCAAGCATCATCGTCGCCGCTGTTGAAGCCTAAATCGCCTCGACCACCATCGCACCGCCACTTTCTCCTTCGTCTCCATCAACTTGTGAATAAAAAACACACAGAATCCATGGCGCAGGCAGGAAGGCCTTCTTCCAACTTCCAACGCTAATTTGTTCCTTACACGAACCCTACCCCCAAGTTTTTCCCCAATCTCAATTACATTTGTCAATTAAAGGGGTCTACACTTAAAAGTTTTTATTATTCTCACTTTACCCTTCGAAAAAACTTATTACACCACTATGCATTCATAATTTTTAATACAAAATTCGTTTATAATGTCACGACTCATTAATGTGAACTTTGACCATGCTACATAACCAACATTTAAACGGCCGTTTGCCCAATTTGACAGCAGACCTTTAATTGCTCA